CAAATCTTAAACATTGGAAGGGAAAGGTTTTTGTTTTTCCATCAACCGCTTTACTCTAAAGGCCTTTTTTATCAACTTTTATTATTTATTTAAGATAGTATATAGTGCCGAACCCATGGACATTGATCAGGCTGAAATAGAATGTAGTCAACCGGAGATTCAGCCATCAACTTCAACCACTTTTGCTAAAACATTTGCTGATCGTAAAGTTCAATGTTCACTATTAAAACCAAGAAGCCGTGTAAAGTTACGCAGACAAATAAAGACTTTAAAGCAGAAGATAAAAAGAAGATTAATTTAAATTAAATAATTAATTTGTTAATTTTTGTACTTTTAGTAGTAAATAAAAATGTAATTTTATATTTGTATATCTTTATTGTTTTTTATTTGATCCCAATTTCCCATATTAGTAGAGGTAGGCATTATAATTTTTATCTTTCTACTATAGCCAAAATTAAATTAGGTAAAAGAAATAGAAAGTAAACCTTTCTAGTTTTTCACTTCCCCCGATTGGTAACCATTAACTTTGTTTATTATATTATTAACATTTGTTATATTATTAACATGTGCCTTTATTAAATAATGCATTTCATGCTACAAATATTTATACCTACTCCAATTATTGAACAAATAAAACATTGTGAATTGATTTAAAAGCCTTTTAAAACAAGAACATTTATTATTACATTATTATTTAAACAAATAAATTAAAAACCACATGGCTTTCCATCTATATTAATGAGCCAGACAAAGACAACCACCCCTTTTACGTTCCCTCTCTTTCTATTCGAAAATTTGCCTCAGGCGCCACTACGCCGCTTTCTGTCCAGTTACTTTAGTATATAGTTCATTGGTGTCTTGTCCTGGCCGGTTAAAAAAGGCTCAAATCGTATTTTTAATCATATCTAAATTTTTTCAAATTGAACGAGGGTGGCTCATTAGCATATTTGGAAAAAGCATTTTTTTACGAATAATTTGATACCACACACTTGGTATTTCGAGTCAAATTTTTGTTACAAACCGCAAGTTATAATTTCAAATAAACCATATATGCAAAAATGTCAAAAGTTGACATATGACATGTCATTCTATAAATAAAAGAAGAAAAAAAAAAGTTATATGGGTGAGCCACATTCCCATATATCAGTCCCTTTGATTCAGTATAGAGTCCCTTTGATTCAGTTCAAAGTGACGCAGTCGATGCACATATTGCGCATCGGTGAAGTATTGGTGGAAGTATTGGTAAAGTACATACTGCGCACAGTACTGTGATCAGAACCACAAAATTAATGGAATAAATTACTGAATTCAATTATACTTTGTAATCAAAGGCCAAAATGACATTACTTGCTAATTAGTACAAAAAAAAATAAGTCAATTAAGTTAACTTTTTTTAATGATTGAAAAGAACTACCACTAATTTTGACGTTTTGAATGCTTAAATTGAAATTAGTGGAACAAAAACATTTACGCTAATTGAAACTATTACCTACTTTATTTCACTAATCTTCTTAGGTTCTGAATGAAGCTTTATGAATTCTTTTATCATCATCCAGCCTTTTATCTTGTCCACTGCTGAACATAGGCCTCCCGTAACAGTGCCCAAGTATTTCGAGTCTGTGCATGAATTCTTTAGTCAGTAAATTTTCTGTGTCCAACTATCGTAATCTAACGGTAACATTTGTTGTCTGTCATTTTCATTCAAAGGTAAGTCTCTATTCCGTTTCTTACCTTGGTTAAAGTCACTTAAACTTTGAGTCCAATGACGGACGTAAGAAAGATAAAAAACAACGAATATATTCAATAAATTAGAAAATAATATACAGGATGTCAAAAAAATAGTGTATCTAACTTCGATGTGTGATTCTACAGATAAAAATAAAAATAAAACAACATAAACAAGCTGTAACTGGAAACATTTTAGGGCATATGTTCATAGGAACTTTTTGTTTTATTTTAACCTGTAGAATCGCCCACCAAAGAAAGATACCCCCCATTAGGTATACTATTTTTTGGCACCCTGTATATTAAATTAGTTAATCTACCATTTACAATTATTATTGTCTATGATTTGGGAAAATAAGGTATGAAAATAAAAAGAAAAAAATTAGCAAAATTTTTTTATTAGTACAAAAATAATCACGACTAATATATTACATTCTAAAAACAACAAATAGGTAGTTGGTAACCGTTAAACAGAAAATGTACAATACTTAACACTAAAAGCACCAATAAATTTATTCTAACAAATAGGAAGGCATCATTTATCATCAATTTCACTCAATAAAATAGTTAAATAAATAAGTACATAATATTGGTAATAAGATCACAAAAGATATAAGGCAGTTTTAACACAGAATATAGATAATATAATGAGACCAACTTAAGTCTAAATCTATCCAATCATATTATAATGGTATAAAAATATATATATATAATATTGACTAGCACACTTATTGAGAGCTCAAACAAATATGAATATCAAATAAAGTATATTTTCAGTTGTATAGTCACAAAAGTTTGAATCACCTTGTACAGGGTGTCTCATTTTCGTGTGTTTTGCAGGATTTCTTGTTTATGAGTAGAGGTACAAAGATGCGGTTTTCGCATCACTATGCTTCTTCTCTATGAAACTAAAAATGCTACTCATAGATTTGTCTTAGCTTTTTTAAAAAAATACAGGGTCAATTTTAAAATGTGGCATTTTTCGACCTTTTTCGTATCTTGCAAGAGAAACATCAAACAATGCCTAGAGAAGCAAGCTGATCAATTTAGGGAAAGAAAATAAAGTCCTCCTACTTTTGGGTAAACAATCTAGTTAGAAAAGGAGCGAACACTCCACTAACTGAACCAGAACCGTTCTGTTTCCCCTGTAGAAACATACTTAAAGCAGAACTCAAGAACCTGGAATGGGAATCCTCCAACGGCCTAAGACTCCTGAAGAAATTTCTCAGGACACTAAGATTCTCCTTGATTTAAGTAAGAACAATCTTCGTATTGTCACGGGGTTTTTAACAGGACACTGTCTCCTCAAAAAACACCTCAGTAGATTCAAGATAAGAATCAACGGCAAATGCAGATTATGGGGGGCAAAATGGGGAAACACTAGAATTCCTCATCACGTGAGTGCGCCGACGATAAGCATTCGAGCTAGAAACTTTGGTACAACTGGTATCAGAGATGAAGAACTAACCTCTGTAAAATCGTCTCACACACTGGCTGATGAGTTATAACTCAAGAAAGGAGCTCACGATAGATCTATAAAGCCGCGGTGATTGACTTACCCCCTCCCAACAATCAACGAACACTGCTCATAGCGATACCCCATAAAACCAACGAAAATGGGACACTTTGAACACCAAACCTAACAAACCCTCACATTTACTTCCTTATTGTCATATATGAATAATTCTAGAGCAGAATTTGTGCACAATATCAGATTAGTTTAGTTTTTTAATTCCTAAAATTTATTTCTAAGTTAATTTTACACAGTCTTGATATTTTATATTACCCTGTGATAGAAACGACGTCATAGCAGGCTGTAGCACCTATCACTGTAGATGTAATAAACGTCAAAGATCGATATAGTGAAGTTCGAAGTGAAATTGTATTTCTACACCTTCTGTGACGTTGTTTTTATACGTGTCATATGAAACCAATGGTTCTAACATAAATAAATAAAAGGTTATTTACATATATAACACAATAAAAATTTTATAATACCAGAGTTGACAGAATTTATAAAAGTGTGTTACTGATAATTGAAAAAGGCTACAATTTAATTTATTGTATGTTAGAGTAGAAACGGGATCAGTAATCAGTACTTATTAGTAACAATTACTTACTAGTAAAAGCTCATGATTGTCGAGACTACGCCAGTAAGAGTTCAACAACTAAATTTGAAACAAACTTTGACTAGTGAAGGTTAGCATTCACTGGAGCTTTCTAATGAATGCTAGTATTCAAATTCGTTTTGCTTTTTCACTATTTATAACACTTGCCGGTAGGTAATAAGTTACTATCCGAAAATTACTTGAAACTAATTGACAGCTCAGGAAAAATCAATTGGAAACCCTCACAAGAATAATTCCACTCCTCCAACTCCCAGTGGATGGCATACCAAGAATATACAAGTTTAAGAAACACCTCATTGATCAATAAAAAGGATTGGAAGAGAGAAACGTTTTCTCAGCAGGTAAAATACCATATACCATAACGTGGAATACTGATGCTTCCTAAACCAAAACATGAACAGGGATAGGAGTATTTGGACCGGAAACTAAATACACCAACCAATGGGTACCTACCCCAACATCCTTCAGGCAGAATTCTACGCTATCAAAAGATGCTTACAACTTATCTTAGATAAGAACTATCGAAAACAAGAAATATCCATCTTATCCCATAGTCATGCAGTATTAAAAGCGACCAACTCAGTAATCATCAATTAGAAGTTGATCAAAGAATGCCTAGAGAAGCTGAACAAATTAGACAAAGATAATAAAGTCCTCTCCCTCTGGGTGCCAGCCCATCAAGGGATAGGAGGCAATGAAAACGCAAACGATCTAACTGGAAAAAGAACGAACATGCCACTAAGTGAACCAGAACCGTTGTGCTTCTCAAGTTGAAACCGACTTCAAGCGAAACTCAGGAACCTGGAAGACTCCAATAATTTTGGTGTTTCTATTTGGTTATAGTGTTCTTGTAATTTTTTAGATGAGCATATCACCTTAAATATGGAGGTGATTCCATGTTCTTAAAAGTACTATTTGTTCCAACTTCCACCAACATAGTTTTAGTAACGCTCACTAGCAAATGCTTACTAGTAAAAGTTAACAAACATTACTAACTACATTACTACATTTCCACAGTCGCAGTTAACATCGATTGTTAACATTTACTGGATTTTCGACTTTCACTGTAACATACATTTTATTTATTTTGGAGCTACCTACAATATATAATCACAAGAAGAGAATACATAAGTGACAGTTGTTTAGCCTATCAAATTTTGAATTTGAACTGTCAAAATAATCACATCTCTTGCTGATTTAACTTATTAATATAATACAGTTATGTTTAGTCAACTCTGCACTTCAACAATCGAAGTAGTTTCTGTCTAATATGATATTAGCTACCTGTAGTGATAATAAAATAACAACTATCTATGATTAAAAATCTTCTCTTTTAAGTACCATAATGTTTATCAAACAAATAAGTGCGTATCAGTTGTATTTTATGTAATTTTTTAGATGTCCTCTGTCGAAATCTTCGCTGACTCGTTGGACAGACTTTAGTAGCACCAATTCTAAATACTTTTTACATTTTAAAAAATTTATTAGATGCAAAAAATGTAGCAATACCAAAATGACAGCAAAAGTTTAATAACATTTTGCAAGATTGCTTACCCGCCGCTCGACTCGGGAGGGCCAAAAGATGGTAAAATTCTTGGACTTTTTTCAGATTTTCCCCTATAGTTCCGAAACGTTGCGTTCTAGCCAATATTTCACTATTATAAAAATTAAAGACCAATAAATTCTGCGTATAACTAATATCAATTCGTTCAATTCGGTCCAGAAGTATGGCAGACATCGAAAGATGAAGAATGGTGATATTTACCAATTTTGCTGATAAATGTATTAAAGTGACATTCAAATGTTCGCCACACGGAAATCATCATTCTAAATAATAAACCATACAATGAAAGCTATAAAGCATTAAGTTAGCATTTTACACAAAGTAATACATGCCGAGGAAATGAAAATTTTCGCGTTGCGTCCAACAATTATTATTGATGGATAACTCAGTGATAAGTCAATTGCAGTCGTAATAATGAGTCTATCAGTCACATCATCTAGCTTTTTATAGAGCATGCTAACTAGACGATTCTTATTACGGTCGTTAAATAAGAGATGCTCTTTTGAAGTGGCAAAACTGGTAAAAATAACTAATTTAAAGCTTCAGTTTTAGCTATACTACCGAACTTAATTGATACTCATTCTACGAACTGTTGGACGACGGAACGCGATTTTTTTTTCTCGGCATATATTTCTTGATGTAAAATGCTAATTTGATGCTCTATAACTTTTATTGTATGGCTGATTATTTAGAATGATCGTTTCCGTGTGACGAAAGTTTGAATGTCACTTTAATGCGTTTATCAGCAAAATTGGTAAATATCACCATTCTTCATCTTTCGATTTCTGACATACTACTGGACCGAATTGAATGAATTAATACTCATTATAAGCAGAATTCAATAGTCTTTAATTTTTGTAAAAGTGAAATATTGACTAGAACACAACGTTTCGGAACTACAGTAGAAAATCTGAAAAAAGTCCTAGAATTTTACCATCTTTTGATCCTCCTGAGTCGAGCGGCGGTTGAGCAACCGTGCAAAACTAGGATACTTATCTTTCATGTCAACTGAACAAACAAAACCACAATTAGCGTTCCAACACTTTTCTCCAAGTGAACCTTCTAATTTGATTGGTTTAGATAATGAAATATCAAATAAAATATCTGTTTGGGCAGACATGCTCCTTAATTTTCTTACACAACGTTTCGGTCAAATGTATCACCGACCGTTATCAAGTGTAAACGAATCGAATTCCTAAAACTACCGAGCTTATTGCTAAACCAATGTATTCACCAATGACGGAGTTCAGTCAAGCGTAAGTTTTTCCACTGGGGACGCCAGCATTGGTACAATTTACAACCGCTTGTCATATTTTAGAAATTTCCATACTTTCTAAAGATATTATTAGTGTTTGATATAAAAACAAACAATTATTATTGATGGATAACTCAGTGATAAGTCAATTGCAGTCGTAATAATGAGTCTATCAGTCAGATCATCTAGCTTTTTATAGAGCATGCTAACTAGACAATTCTTATTACGGTCGTTGAATAAGAGATGCTCTTTTGAAGTGGCAAAACTGGTAAAAATAACTAATTTAAAGCATCAGTTTTAGCTATACTATCGAACCGAATTAATACTCATTCTACGAACTGTTGGACGACGGAACGCAATTTTTTTTCTCGGCATATATTTCTTGATGTAAAATGCTAATTTGATGCTCTGTAACTTTTATTGTATGGCTGATTATTTAGAATGATCGTTTCCGTGTGACGAACGTTTGAATGTCACTTTAATGCGTTTATCAGCAAAATTGGTAAATATCACCATTCTTCATCTTTCGATTTCTGACATACTACTGGACCGAATTGAATGAATTAATACTCATTATACGCAGAATTTAATGGTCTTATTTTTGTAAAAGTGAAATATTGACTAGAACACAACGTTTTGGAACTACAGTAGAAAATCTGAAAAAAGTCCTAGAATTTTACCATCTTTTGATCCTCCTGAGTCGAGCGGCGGTTGAGCAACCGTGCAAAACTAGGATACTTATCTTTCATGTCAACTGAACAAACAAAACCACAATTAGCGTTCCAACACTTTGACGCCAGCATTGGTACATTTTACAACCGCTTGTCATATTTTAAAAATTTCCATACTTTCTAAAGATATTATTAGTGTTTCATATACAAACAGCTTCTTTAAATTTATGTTTTTCCAAAGAGCTCCCTTGTGGACAACCCGGGTTTCCGACCACTTTATGTTGTGGTAATTCAATCACACTGACTTCCTAGTACTATATACAATATTGATACAGTGACTGCTTCCACTTTTTTGGTATTCATTTAAATGGTATTGTTTCTCACCAAAACTCTTACAAAGTTTATTTTTTGACCTTTATAAGCAATCACTACCTAACATTATCGTCTTTTACAGCACTATTACTCGGAGCGCTGGTAATAGTACCACCGGCAAGTGAACTTATAGGCAATGCAATAAACTTTGGTTCGGTAGAGCCTTGGACCATGCCCAAAATCATTCCTTCGGAAACACTGGCAAAACCCACACCGTTTGCCGTCTGAACTATTAAAGGAACTGCTTGAATATTACTGATAGGACTTGTAGTAGCAGTAGTACTAGCAGGAGGAGGGGTTTTAACAATTTCCTTCGACGTAGTACCAGAAACAGCAGCTTTATTTGACATAATCAAGGCGTTGTTGATTTTTTTGATTTGCGAAATGATCGGAGATTGATCTTCTTTCTCTCTGGATGGTTCTTTTGATTGTGCTGGATCCTTGGATGGAGCTGGAGGTTCGCTAGTGCTCTCGGACGAGTCAGATTTGAATACTTTTACTGGAGGCTCACAGATAACCTCTTCTTCTGAGATGTCATCGTCTTCTTCGCCTGAATTGCTGTCACATTCGTTTTCCTGAAACAAGAAGAAAACTATGGTTAATATAACGAGGTCACAACATAAATGTCAACAATATTATCTTCAAACAATAGTCAAATATTAACAATTATTTCTATGCCTACTGCAATTTATTTTTAGTAGTTTTCATTCAATCACACGGTATATTATACAGGGTAGTCTGTATTCTAATATTGGCAACATATTCTGTAAATAAAAATAAGCAAAAAAGTTTTGGAGATACAAGGTGTAGAAGTTTTATTCTTTATATTCTTTTTTTTTCTAAATAATTTCTGAATTAAAGTCAATATTTGGATGAAAATTGGTACCTGGGTGTTTTTTGACAGAAGAAATTCGATTTCTATGTTAGTATGACTCGTACCTGTAGAGGGAACCATCTACATGTTTTTAATTGTTTCGAATAGTAATAACTTTTCGCCCGTAGCTGTATTACGCTACTGAGGGAAATATTTTTCCGCCGTTTTTTTTGTGTAAAAGCGGTCTCTTGGTAAAAATCGCTACTAGTAATGATTCTCACGATATTTGGAATCGAAATAATCAATACATGTCATCATTAACAAAAAATTCAAATAAAAATGAAACTATTACACCATATATCTCCTGACCGATATATTTATTTTATTATGACATACATTTATACGATTTTTTTACTTATTTTCATTTGGAGAATATGCTTCCGAATGCCGAAGTTCCCCCGAATGCTATTCGGACCACCCTGTATACCATAGAAAAACTTTTTATAAGATTTCCATTAAAGCAATCTAAACACAAGCTCACAAGTAGAAAAGCTAAAGGAATCGGTAGTTTAATTTTAATTATTACCCCATTAGGTTGTCTGATAGAGCTGAAAACAAGGATCGATTGCTAGAACAGAAGTTGCCATCATGTACACCAAGAATTATTAAAATTATCTATACCGGGTGGTACCGATCGTTGGAAACATAGGAAATCGCATGAAATTTTGAACTTTTCAAATATTGACTTCCCTGTTGATTTTACGGCGAAGTCGTAAATAGCTTTTTTAAAAAGGTCTGCGTATGCTGAATACAAGTACAAAATTTGAACAATTAAAAAAAGCAGATTTTAAGTAATTTAAGAAAAACTGCGTCTATTTTTAAATTAAAACTGGACAGGTAACAATACTAAAACCAGGCAAATGTCATGATTTTGTCAATGTCAAATTGTATTTTCTATACGTTAGGGTTTTGCCTCATTCGAACAAGTTTTAAATTACATAAATGCATTTCGGGGGCACTAACCATAGGTACTATAACGTAATAATGTAGGTACTATAACACAACAAATTAGAGTTGATGTTCAGTCTGTTCAGTTTTAATTTAAAAATAGATGCAGTTTTTCTTAAATTAGTTAAAATCGGCTTGTCCAAAACTGTTCAAATTTGGCATGTGTATTTAGCATACGTAAACCTTTAAAACTATTTACGAATTCTCTGTAAAATTAACAGGGGAGCCAATATTTGGAAAGTTCAAAATTTGCATGGGATTTCTTATGTTTCCAACGACAATGCACCACTCGGTATATGAATATATCTAGGTGTCTTCCTTTTTAGTCACTAGGTATATTTCAGATTCGACAGTAAAAATAGCACAAAAAACAAATTTAGCTTACATCAAATCATTATTACAGGAAAATGCAGAAGAAATACTTAAGAAGAAAACGCTTTTAAGAAGAATTACAGGGAAAAACATGAGGAAAAAAATGAAGTAATGTCTATATCAAAGATAAAAGATGTTGCTTAATAATTATTGTCTATTCTGAAATGAAAAAACTATATTTTTTATTGTTAATTTAATGCTGTAAAAATATATTTATACAATTTAATGCTTAATACTCAATTTTATTGAATTTGATCATATGGTATTTATGATTGGTGTAGTCTATCACGTATCATAGAAAAAACAGTGTTAAAAGTAAGAAAAAAAACACGTCAGTAAGCAAGAGCAAAAACAAAATACGTCAGTAAGGTTAATTCTTCTGTCTGGCTTTCACAATCCATGCCTAAATATGTCTAAAACACGTACATACCTCTATTATCTACCTAATAATTGTCTTATCTTCAACAAACGATTTCTCGCATGATAGAAACGAAGGATTTTTACAGCATCTATGTCACTCACAGCATAGAGAATTGTAATGTAAAGTAATTTTATTTGGAATAGATAGTTCTTGAATATAACCGAAATTGTAAATTCATTTTCATAAAAGGATTCAACACGACAAACCATGTCAATTTTTACAGATGAGTTCATTCATGTCTCAGTTGACTATGGTTTAACTTTTGGCGTTCAAGTGGTATTGAAAATGGCCTCAAGTAGGTGGTCAGAAGAAAATGTTATGAAATTTATGAATATTTATGAAAAATATGACTGTATATGGACCACACCAAAGATAATTCTACTACGAATGTGTTAACTATAATATTCATTGACCACGCATAATACAGTAAGATCCCAGAGCGATCTGACATAACTTATTTTGACAAGGATGAAACTTTAGGCTCTCAGTAGTGCTCTCATGTGCTTTGAATACCGGCGTGTTTGTGGAGTTCGCCCTGTGACACCTTGGCAGATACAGGATGAGAAAGATAACTAAAATTAACAGTTACTTAACTTAAATTTGTATGGCTGATTTTTGTATAAATATTGTAGAATATTACTGTGAAGTAGTATCAAAAGTATCAGAAACTTTCCATCAGAACTTTTAACAGACGATAGCAAATCAAAAAGTGGATTTTTGATAAAGATAGACTGTATCAAAGCTCCACAAAAAATAAATGAACTTTACTTATTTTTACATGTCTGATTTTTACATAAGTTAGATTTAATCAGATAGATTGTAATGACGAAACTTCCTCTAAACACAAAATTTATTCAGCCGTGACTATGAGCGAGGGATTATTTTTGCATCTCTATTTAAATAAGATGAGTTTTTTTATTAAAATAATAATTAATAATTATTAAAGTAAATTAGTTTATTGCATATAAACTACTCAAAACAATTATCGCATATCTTCTAGAAAAATATTTTGAAAAACAAGACACCTTGAATCCTCTGACTTAGTTTTTAAATAGTTCGGATACAGTAAAGGGAAATATTCGAAAATAAGTCTGGGGGTGACAGGCAATTCTTAGTCGGCCGACTATTTAGTTGCAGATTTGTAACCAATAGAGTTCTTATGGAGCCGCTATGTAATCAAATAAATAGTCGGCCGATCGGCTCCAGTATGTATTGTTTTCACTTTTACAACTAAATAATCGGTTGACTAAAAATTGCATGTCACCCCCAGACTTATTTTCGAATATTTTCCTTTACAGTATCCAAACTATTTAAAAACGTAAGGTGTCTGAAAATGGAGAAACACCTTATCACTGAGTATCCAACGACCCTTCGTGCCATGAACTTTGGTATTTGGTACGGCTGATGTCGAAGATGGAGAGCTAGCCTCTGTGAAGCTATCTCATATACTGGCTTTTGTTAAAGCCCTGATAGTGTATGATGAGTTGTAACTCGTTATAACTCTAGAAAGGGGAGCATATAGATCTGTAAGGTCGCGGTGATTAACTCCCCCCCCCCTCCTAAACCTTCTACATTCTACAATAACTTGGGGCATAGTTTTGTCCATATAGTGTATTCTATAAAAAATGGGTACTATAAGAATTCTTGTAACAATATGAACAGTAAGTTTTTAAGAACACCACCTAGAATGTAGAATGTAGAATGTTTAGAAGGGGAGTTAATCACCGCGACCTTACAGATCTATTGTGTGTTCCCCTTTCTTGAGTTATAACGAGTTATAACTCATCATACAGTCTCAGGGCTTTGAGAAAAGCCAGTATCTGAGACGGCTCCACAGAGGCCAGCTCTCCATCCTCGACATCAGACGTGCCAAAGTTCATGGCACGAATGGTCGTCGTCTCGGCGCACTCAGTGATAAGGTGTTCTTAGAAGAACACCACCTAAGCACTCTCTCAGTATTCAATACCGATCGTAATGATAGCTGTATATAAAAACCAAACCAAACACCTGGTCAGAAGAAGAATAACAACCATCATAGAAAAAAGCATAATTAATCGCTAGTAGATGATACAACAATGCGACGATCGGGGCATTGTTAATCATACCCAGTACTATTGAAATTCAATTAGATTTTTTCCCCGCTCATAGTCCGCGAGTCTTTTCTTCTTCGCTGCGGCCATACCAAATTTGAACAAGACCGGTGGTCGTTTAGGTTAGGTTAGACTGCGTGGCTTCTTCTATTTCCTATTATAGCTTTACGAGCCGCGGACCAAATGGGGTAAAGGCCTACGGACGGCATAGGAAAAACAACCGGTGCATCTTTTTTCTTCTTTTTCATCTTGTTGTCGTTTCTGCGTTATTGCGGCTCGCATCTTCCGTCTTCTTCTTCTACTACTACAGCGGCCTCAGATCAATAAAAACAAACATTAGTAATTAAAAAAAGTCTTTTTTAAAACAAGCAAAATTATGTTTATTTATTCCTAACACTAGCGACGCTTGTGTGGTTCCGGCGCCGCGCCGCACAGTGTAACGAAATCGGGAAATGCGGGACATTAGCCCAAAAAACAAAAAAATGAATTCATCAAGTTTTTTATATAGATGGATAAAGGACATCCCAGAGCCCTACCATGTGAGATATTTCTTGAGTTGACCTCTTAGTCGGGGAGTTATGGCGGGTTAAAGTTATGGTTTCCTTAATTTACCAAATCTGTACAAAAATTGCATACAATGAAATTTATTATTTTCAGAAGTTTCCTTGTGTGGTGCAATTCCAACAATTTTTTCCGTAAAGAGGGGTCTTTTACCAACAACAAACCTGAAAAAAATGTCCCAATTTTTTCAAGTCTAGTTTCTACATGTTTATTATGACTTTCAAAAAAACGCAAAAAAACATTCGCGCAAGGTTATATATACAAAATATCATATAGTGAACCTTCTAGTATACTGTTACATAAAAATTT